CCAGCAAAGCTGTTCTTAGCTCATGTACTGATCTGAAGTCAGCTGGTGCTAAATCTGGCATGTTCATTTCAGTGTAGTGAAATGTTTGTAGCTTCACTTTATTTAGTCTGGCCAGCAAAAAAAGGCAATTTGATAATGAGGTTTTATTGCTTAGATATTTTATAGCTAGAATGATGTTATTCTCTATTTGGTTTTCCTTTATGTATTTGAAAGGAAAGAATGAATATCAATGAGTTGAGGTATTCTATACTGATGAGCCGAAAGCACACTTTTGACTTACTGGGATTTAAGACATTTAAGACATTGAATGTAAAGGTGCTGATACAGCTTAACTGACTCATTATATGTGATAGTAAGACACGTAGTATGTTTGCGTTTGTGTATGTTGTACAGCCTGGATTAGTTACTCAGAACAATAAAGACATATTCCCATAGTACAGTCTTTGAAATCCACTCCCTGCAGTAGATCCAGAAACCCTTTGCATGAATTAATAGTAAAGGATGTTATGACTCATTTTTGAGAAACTAATGTTATATTCAGTGTCACGTAGAAGCCAAGGACTTGAGTAATGAGTTGTCAAAAACGTCAAACGTTCAAGAATAGCTACTTTCTATTGTTGAAAGGAAATGTGCAAGTTGAAATTACTTCTTATAGTTGCTGGACTCTTTGATCTTTCATGTAAATATGGGATAAGTAGTCACTAGCAACAGAATTATATAATCAAAATCGCTAATATCTTTGTTGTAAGCTAAATGTATTTTATTAATTCAAATATTTTTAAGAATCCCTGCATCAAAATAACAATATTTCTAGTACTGTCAGCTTCCTAATAATTCCTGTGTATCATATGTGTGCAGGGTTCTTTACAAGACCTGCAGAAAAAGGGGTTCAAGGCTGTTGTGGATTAAACCCGGCCAGCAGCTCAGCCTCACACACCCACTCACTCACTCCCGCACAGTGGGATGCGGGAGAGAATTGGAAGGGTAAAAGTGAGAAAACTTGTGGGTTGAGATAAAGACAGTTTAATAGGTAAAGCAAAAGCCGCATGTGCAAGCAAAGCAAAACAAGGAATTCATTCACTGCTTCCCATGGGCAGGCAGGTGTTCAGCCATCTCCAGGAAAGCAGGGCTCCATCACATGTAACGGTGCCTTGGGAAGACAAACACCCTAACTCCGAACGTCCCCCTTCCTCCTCCTTCCCCCAGCTGTTATTGCTGAGTACGGTGTCATATGGTATGGGACATCCCTTTGGTCAGCTGGGATCAGCTGTCCCGGCTGTGTCCCCTCCCAACTTCTTGTGCACCCCCAGCCTGCTCGCTGGTGGGGTGGGGTGAGAAGCAGAAAAGGCCTTGACTCTGTGTAAGCACTGCTCAGCGATAGCTAAAACATCCCTGTGTTATCAACACTGTTTTCATCAAAAATCCCATGAGCTGCTACGAAGAAAATCAACTCTATCTCAGCCAAAACCAGTACAAAGGCCTAACCCAAATGTTAGCAGTGAGAAAGTCAGCACAAGGGAGTTTTTGAATGAAGCAAGGAGGTGACAGGAGGAAGTTTAATGTCTAGCCAGAGGGAACTAACCTTAAGTCTGGAGTATAGAGACCATGGTACTTACAGAAAAGTATACAGTTGGGTCAGTTTAGTCATCTGTTTAACAGCAAATGCATGAGTTGGCATGTGTCAAACTCACACACTTCTTGTCTCAGAGTTATTTCTGTTCCTTAGGCAAACCTAAGACTGTCTTTGGAGCAGATCTTACAACCAACTCATAGCAGAAAGGGACCTTACAGCTGCTTTAAGATTTTCTAGCACAATGAGAAACCTGAACAGGAGGGAAGAAGTCATTTCTACTGGGCGCTGTGAAGGGCCAGGACACAATTTACAACAGAAGTCCTGGTTTAAGTGCCTTCCTTTTGAAGGCTATTAACAATACAAATTACAGGAGGCCAGTGGTTACTTTAACATGTTAGGATTTGTTAAACCACTTGGTAGTTCCCAGGATAAGATGATGAGTGGTGTAAAGTTGTCCCTGTGTGCACTCTTACCAGGTGTTGTGTGCAAGGCTTTAGCATACCCGGGGAGACCCCTGTCTCTGCTCTACAGTAATGTGATGTTGAACATCACTGTTACTATTAAAATGGTATCTCTGCTCATCATTTTTTTCCATGAAAGTGAACAGGAAAACTTCCACTCAGTATTTAAACAATGCAGATTCATTGTCATTGCAACTTCTTTTGCAAATGACATTTATCTCCCTCAAATTTACATGGTGGATGTTAAGAATTTTTGATTTAGAGACCATTCAGGCTTCTATTTGTATGCTCAGTAGAAATGTGTTTTAGTGGGGTCTGCAAATGCCAACAAGTTGATAACAAATAGAACATATTGTGGAACTGCTATGCATCATTTCTAAGCTTTACACTATATTTGCAACTCCCAGTGTGCACAAGGTCAGGAAATAAAATTCATTTTCTTCCAGAATACTGATGATGGGGACATGAGGCTGCCAAATTGTTAAGTCATTTATCAGAGCATCCTTTTTCCATGATTTTGCAGAGCAGGTCAGGTTGAATGAATGAAGGAGGGTGCCTAAAGTATTTGCAGTGTTCTTGGTGCCATGGGCTGTTGTAATTGCTGCTGAGAAACTGTTTATCACTCTATTCCTAGAAAATTGCCTGGAGACTGGCTGATGTTCCTTTTGCTATGACAGAAGCCAAATTAAAGGAGCATAGGGGTGCTCTGCAGTGCTTGTCTGTAGGCATAGTTCTTAGAGCTGTCCAAAACCAAGCCAAACTGGGGAGTATAATTCTGCCATTCTTGCAGGGAATTGAAGGGAAGTTCTTCAGAAGTGATTTTATGTGAAATTATGTTAATTTGGAAAAAAAAATTAGAATTATATTTGAAAACAATTTTAGAAACATTGTTTAAGAAACATTGGACTACTAAGAATCCTATTTAGCAAACACAGGATTCATGTGGAAAACCAGCATCTTTTTGGGGCATACATCTAAGTGCAAGCATTTGTACACTCTGGGTAGCTACACTTGAATGTCACTGTGGGGCCTCTTCATTGTCTGTAGAAATATATCCAATGAAGTACATGTTGACTGCTTACATAGATACAAGAAGTGCTTCCTAGAAGGCCCAATGAAGAGACCCTACATTGCCTTAGATGTTTATATTTGCAGTGTAGACACCTAACACTAGGTGAAACAGAGCCTACGATTTATGCCCATAGAGAGTCCCTAGAAATGCAGTGGGGCTCTGCAAATACACAGCAGACTCTATAGAGAGCAATAAAGTAATACTTTAGGTTTTACCATTTTAACCACCCAGCGACACCAATATTTATTCAGGATTTTAACTGAGGAACTTTCTTGTGGTCATTCTAATGGCACTGGAAACTTCATTAAGTCCATATTTTCCTTCTTTATCTCCGCAGTAAATTAATATTATGTAAAGCAAGCAAAACATTAAAATGTCAGGACTGTTGTCAAAAAGGCCGTCACAGCTTACTTCTCTAATTAAAAAAAGAGGTTTCTGTTTCCTGTGACACCTCGTATACCACTTTTAGCTCCTAGCAAGCGTGACAGTTGCTATGAATACACTTAAGGTCTATTGCAGTTATGTTTCCCTTGTTTTCCCCCTTTAACCATAACTACAATAGTGCAGTTTCAAGATTCTTCATTTCATTTAACATTTCATTTAGTCTTTTCCATATCTGTATAATATTTGCTAAGTGAATGTCCAGCTGAATTCATCATGAGTTGGGATTGCTAAAGTTACCTCTTTACTTGGCCTTTTAAATGCTGTAAAAATAAATACATTAAGTGATTTGCTTTTCCTTTTGCTATCTTAGTTTATTTAAAAGTATTGCTTCCTTGCTACTTTTTGCAAACTTCATTTGAGAAGGTGAGTGATATAACCATGTGCACTGAATATTGGAATTCTGTCTGTTATACATAGCACATTCTACACTACTATTAAAAACTTTAATTTCCTAACATAGTAAAAAACTTTACTATTGTAATATTTTATCTAGCTTCAGTGGAAAATGTCAGTCTAATGACTTTGTTGTAGGCATAAATGAAGAAGCAGCTTAATTCTGAGAGTATTTAGCATTATTTTTCTTGATGTTGTCATTCAGAATAGGATTTAATGTAATATGTAGCTGGTAAATTTACAGATAACTGCAGTTAATCAGTGGACTGTGCACTTCAGTCTTCTTTTCCTCTTATCTAGCTTCAGTGGAAAATGTCAGTCTAATGACTTTGTTGTAGGCATAAATGAAGAAGCAGCTTAATTCTGAGAGTATTTAGCATTATTTTTCTTGATGTTGTCATTCAGAATAGGATTTAATGTAATATGTAGCTGGTAAATTTACAGATAACTGCAGTTAATCAGTGGACTGTGCACTTCAGTCTTCTTTTCCTCTGTTGAAAAATTTCCTTTCCAAGTTTTAGCAAATAACTTTACTAAAGAGAGAAAGGGTTGTTTGGGTCACAATTTAATAAAGTATTTGAACATTTAGATTAGGAAATTAATGAGACTTAAATATGTCTTTAAACTCATGTATAAATGCATTACAAAATACACTGGAGCAGAAGGACTGAGAGAGATTCTCTCTTTCAGAGATAATCCATTCTTTCAAACTGTGGCTCATTCTTCCCAGTTTGATTGTGTTTATGGAAGTTGATGAATCTGATATTTTCTTTGACCTCATTGACATGGAATAATCAGCTGAAGTTGTACCAGCTTGTGTGCCTAAGTTTTGAGTTCCTGAGGCTGAATTTTCTACTGAGGTCAATTGGCTTGAGATGTTGCATTGCAAAAATATGTTGGAATAAAGATACAACATTTTCATCACGTACTGTAGAGCAAAGAGTGAAAATAATGCTATTTATTTAGCCTTCAGAGCTATTTAATGGAAAATTATATCATTTCACAGTCAATTTTACATATCAGTAAGTGGTTTCTGCATATACATTTTTCTGTGCAGGTCAACTTCTATGTAAGGGTGAAGACAATTTATACCCTTGGACACAGCGTATCTCTGATTGCTCTTACAACAGGAAGTATAATTCTTTGCCTTTTCAGGTAGGTATTTTTCATGAGCAAATATGAATAATGATGACGGTTTTAACTGTTGTCTGATTGCTCAGATATTTAGAAAATGCATCGGGTTTACACTTTTCTCAATTAAACAGCTGACAATAATGTAATGCTAACTTGATTTTTGCTAGCACCAGTCATACTGAAAAATTTCAAATCACTTCACAAATTTACAGACATTACAGCCCATGTAAGAAAGAATAGTCATTTAGGAATGGATTATATAAAGCATTTTCTATTTGATTATTAAAATCGACACCTTGAATTGCTCTTGAAAATTATTAGGATGCTGGTCTCAACACTGGACAAGTGGGCAGCTATGTTTTGCAGAAGCTTCTGGGTGGTCTCCAGGGGTACTATAATCGAAGGTAATCATTAATTTGTCCAAGTGGGGTTGTAAAGGTATGGATAATTGTGCTGAAGGATAGTGCTGGGTGTGCAATGTTTTTGTTACGCAGTGCTAGGAAAGGCACTACTGTCTGTTGGTTTTGCCTAATTGCTGGGAGTTTTCTGAGACTGAAAGCAATCTCCAACTGGTAAAAGAAATAGCAAAATGGTATTATCAGTATCATAGCTTTTCTCAGTCTGTCCACTTCCATGCCTTTATGTATCAGTTCTACCTGTCAATAGAATAGCCTTTATATTCTCCATTATAAACTTCACACAACTTTTCCGTTCCGCTCTGCACCAAGAAAAACAAGAAAATGCATCTCTCAGATTTGGTAGAAAAGAAGTACATGTAATATGTAGAGGACAGCATGTTGTTTGTCAGAGCCTCATTCCTCTGATGAACTATTCCTATGGCGAGTTCTGTAAGCCTGTCAGGCTGCCATCAAATTTTCTCAATATTTAAATAGTCAGAGACTATTCAGAGCAGATACATAACCCGTAGTTGTATTTTGGAATATCTTTGAAAAAAAATGAATTGAGTCACTCATGGTTATCTTCTTCCTACCAGCAAATGCTAGAGGCAGATCATGCATTTTCAAAACTGCTAAAACCTAATAACACATTTAAGACAGTGTGTTACAGACATCTGAAAGTTGTCCATCACCAGAAGTCAGTTATAACAAAGAGATCAAGAATTTCAGAGGTGTACTCAAAGCCTTCAACTTCAGTTTAAATATCTAAGTTGAGAACTCCCCAGTCTCTCTGTTGAGTCAGTGGAAAGACCCAGGCTTTTTTGCAGGGGGGGTGACATAGGGTCTTCTCAGTCTCCCCCTAAAGAAGCCTGTTTCTCTGTTATCTACAGGGCCTCTGTTATCTATCTAGGGGCCTCCTAACATAGTGAGTTGAATTAGGAACCCAAATAAGTTATAAAAATACCTTGTTCAGTATATAGTTTCCCAAGCACGTAGCAAGCAGCCAGTTATTATGGAAGGCTGCAGCTGAAGCAATTGTAAATTATCAATAATAGAAGTGAATGCAAATGGCTATGTGTTTATGTCTGTTTGTCTCTCAGACATGTTGTAGGGCATCCCGTATATTACGGTCATTTTTAAGGACAGAGTTTGGAAAATAAGAATGTCTCTATAAGTTTTAACTTTTCGCTACTCAGCTGGTACCTCCTATCCAAGAAACATACTTTGCCCTGAAAGATCCCAGGGTTCTTTATAAGGAATGCCAATATACTGTTTATAAAGATCAGTCACTCACCCCTGAAACACATTCACCTTTGAATGTAACCAGCAAACTTTCACCTTGCTGTGTTTAAAAAGGAGAGCAAAGAACAGCTCTTGTAAGTGAAACTATCTAAAGGAGATTTGGTAGTTAAGTAGTGAGTTAAAAATCAGAAGTTACTAACTCAGTAGGGTTGTCAAAATCCTGACTTCATCCAGCAGGATTAGGATTTGAACTCTGGATATTAGTAACACAGGAGATTATTAAAATTGTGCATTGCTGGATTTGTGTATGTATGCTTCAAATTACACTGCATTTAATCCTGAATACGTGCAGTATTTTTAATGAAAGAAAACATGGAATAACATGGACTTTAATTTAATTGTAGGTAATGTGTTCATGACAAGGAAGTGGAAATTCTGTTTTAAGTGTACGACGAGACTTCTGCAGTCCATTATATATTGTTATGTACTGTCTGGCAGAACAGATGCAGCCTCAGGGCTTTGCAGTTGTTCACAATATCAGCTATAAGCACATGAAAGGCAGAACTGTTGGGTGGGGAAAGGAGAGTTGTTTCTGAAAGTTTCCATGCAGTTGCAATATCCTGTTTTGCATTTCTTCCAAAAAACTGGACTTGATTTTAATCTTTACAGAAACATTATATGTGTGTTCCCATTATTAATATTTGTGAAGTACACATTTAGAAGCATTGTAAAAGGAAAGGATTTTCATATCTGGCTAATCCTTTAATCTCAAAACAAAGACATAAAATGTGAATATCTGTAAATACCTTGCCCGACTAAGCTGACAGCATTTTTCAAGTTACTATGGTGCCACTCCCCACATAATACTCTATGTACTTATTATAATTAAAGCTTATTGGTAACTTGCCAGCACAATATTTTCCTGTTGGAGGTTGCCAATTTGTCAGGCTCATTCTTGCTTCTGCAAACTTAATTTATAAACAGCAAACTGAATAACTTTGATTTAGTCAAAAGAAGTTGCTTTACCCTTCTTAGAATGCAAGTTTCTATTTCTTCATTTTGAATGTCTAAGTTTTAAGATATAAAGTTTTAGAAAAGTGGAAATGAAAATGATTGAAAATAAATAGTATTTGTCAGATATTTTAACAAAGGTTGGTTTGTTCCAACTCAGAGCGAAGATAAATTGTAGAACAGCATATTTCTACATAACACTGACATTCTAGATCTTACTATAGATCTTACTATACTTCCTTTGGGGTTACTCCAGTGTAACAACACCTTCCAAAAAAATGTCAATTTCTCTGATATGTGTTTCTTAGCAAGGAGAAAATTATGAATCTCCATCATTTCTATAAGATGTGCGCTCATGTGCATCAACTGTCTGTAAACGTTCCTCACATGGTAGTTTTGTATCATGAGGTAGTCATATCAAAGGAATAAGCATGACAGCTTTTGTTTCATTGTTAAAGAACAGCATTTCTTTGTTATTCTGAATCATCATACATATCCCAAATAAAATACTTTCCTGCCCACTACCTCCAAAATGTTGGTTTGACAGCCTTGCGTATATCCAACATTTATTATTTCAGCTACTGAATGGGATGATCATCTAAATTAGTTACTCAAGTTACTCAAGAAAAATATTTTCCTTCTATTTGCAGCTTGCATGTATCTCTGAATTCCATAGGAACATACGATGCAGTCCAACGTAACAGCAGTATTTCAGTTTTTCTCAGAGCCTATCTCAGCAAAGGACATGCATAGCCACAGCAATCACTGGATTTTTGACAACTGCTTTAAGTTCAGCCTGGTATTATGTCGATTGCCAAACTGGGGGCTAGCGAGACGGATCTGTTCTTTATTTCCCTACACTCACTGTAACTATCCTTGCTTTAGTAGTTTCAGAATGGATTATTTAGTGTTCTTCGGTAAAAACCAAGACGTGAAGACTACTTGGAAGCTGCCACTGCACACCACCATAACATCCTATTGCGTCTTCATTCTTTCATTGCTCGTACTTGCTAAAATGCCCTGGCTTCTGGTTTATTTCCAGGTGCAGTTCAAGGTGCTGGTTTTGACCAAAAAAACCTCTTAGCAGTTTGGTTTCTGGGGATTTGCTATAAAAACATTCTGTGAAATGGGAAGATCTTGAAGGGAATGTCTTTTAAGTGAAAAGCCCTCAACTTACAACTTTCTTCCCCTGAGCACTCATTTACTTACTTGCAATATTTAATTTGTCATTTGTTTGTCAGGCTTTCACATGGCTGATGGACTAAAGAAGAGAAGTTTTACATCTCACTGCATAGAAAGGATAGGCGATCTAATGTTTTGAATGCATTTTTTAATTGTTCCTGCATACACTCACATTATAGGATGAAAAGCCATTACATAGCAAAATGCAAGAGTTAAATAAGAAATTAAACCAGAAAATAATAGGTGAGAGCATGTCTGATATATATCCAGGATAATCAATTTTTATTTGCAAGAAAAACACTGGGATGAGTGCACACACAGAAGGATATGTTAATCTGTGTTTGTTGTCAGCTTATATTAAAGCGTGGGAGAAGGAGCACTGGGATCTTTTGGTCTGTGATACTGAAAAGGAGTAAGAGATACTTTATTTGTATATTTTGGACAGCCTGTAATGATGATGAGGATGATGATGATAAAAGAAAACAGCAAGGCAGCACTGACAATATGACAGAGGAGGAAAGGGTAGGCTCTTACTCAAGGTTCATATTACTAAGAAACGACCGGGTAGTAATAGAAGTCTGTTCAAGAGCTTTCTGTCTCGAAATCTAAAATGCCTGTTTTTAAATGTCTTCTTAGAAAACTTCATTGTACTCGGAACTACATCCATCTGAACCTGTTCCTCTCTTTCATTCTAAGAGCAATCTCTGTTTTAGTCAAGGATGATATTCTCTATTCCAGCTCCAACACAGCTCACTGTCCAGAGGATCAAACCTCATGGGTAATAAACCTCATTTGCTACCTGGTATAATACTGTTGTGTCACTAAATTTTCCTCCTGATCCTTTGAAATATTTAGGAATACCAAGCTGTCAGCGTAGACAATTCTGTAGAGAATATAATGCCTAGCAAAATGGTCTATTAGAATTAGCCAGAGAAAGAAGGTTACAGCACAAGTAAGAGGAGGTAATGTTGTTTTGCATGTCCATGAAGGGACAACATGTCATCTGCCAAAACAAATCATGACCAGCTATAGCTCAGAATAAATATGGCCACTGCAGTAATCAGCTGGGAGAGTTTAAGACAAACAGGAGTGCTATCAGCTGGGAACGATTAAAGGCAGCTCTTCTGGAAATGTTCCAGCAGCTTTATCAGGGTTCAGGAATTGAACAGGTATCAATGGAGAGAGAGAAATGAGTCAGGGAATTAAATGTTTGCAGGAGTTGTCTTTATTAACTCCTCTGTACTTTCTGGCAATGACAGAAGTGTTGTCATTTGCATTCTTGGCAAGCTAGTATGTTTACTGCATTTTCATGCACAGGGGTTAAAAAAATCTCAAGTCCTGCTGTTAAAAGGCTGACCACTATATGATATTCCCTATTCTCTGCCTCCATTGTTTCAGTCAAAAGCGCTGCAGAAGAACCCTACAAATATTGCTGAATACTTTCTGAATTTAATTTACTACAGTTTAAGCTTGTGAGAAAAAAATGGAAGGAAGATATTTTTATATTGATGAAGCCATATTGTCTCAAAGCATAAAGTTCTTAGCAGTGACTACCAAGCTGTATGTATGAATTCATAATCTGGGATATTTCTAATGAAGACAAATAGGCTCTGAGTTAGTAGACCCAAAGTAGTTAGTAGGCAGACTGCCGGGGGTAATCAAAAGTTCTTAGGTCCTTGAAAGATTAGTCAATGGACTCTCAAAATACTACTTGATTTCTGCAATTTCTTTTATTTTCCAGTTATTCTTGGCTGCAAAGCCTCCTACTTTCCTATTTAAATATGTCCACTTCTGTGGACTGTTGAGTAATTTCTGTTGCATTATATGTGGGATGATCTGACACCAGCTTGGCAAGGCTGTTTTGCCTTGCATTGGCTGGATGCTGCCTTTCTTACATAACAGCATGCGGGGTTTGCCCCTTTTGTCACATGTGTGTGATGTTCCACAGTTCTGCTGCACACACAGATGTCTAAAAGCACACAATTCAAAATGCAATGTAACTAGGTCCTGGATCTGAATGACACAGAGCCATAATTTTGGCTAACTCTTTACTGACAGATACATTTGCTGTTCAGCATCTGGAAATACACCTGATACAGGATTAGCTGCAGGAGGAAGGGAAAATATTTTCATGCGGGGTTCTGGTATGTAAATCGAGATTATAATACAGGAGAATATTGGAATTTAAAAGAGATTACAAAAATTTTAGACTGTGACTGCTAATCTGGTTGTAAGTAGTCATAAGCATAAAAGCAAATTCCAGCTTGCATTTTGAAATGTTTAATTTTCTCTGTGTTAAATTTTCTGGCCCATTACTGGTCTGCAATGGATATCCCTTCAGTGGATACAAAGTCCAGAGGTAAGATTAGCCTTACCAAACGAGATGACCAAACTAAGCTGTTTCTCTGGGCTTCTGTCTTTCTCACTGGACAGTTTATCTCATCTGCTTTAAGACTTTCTCTGGACATGCCTGTCTCTCTTCATGAGCTGTATAAGGAGCTAGTTGGCTAGTAGGTGGCTAACTTTCACCAGAAACCTTGCTTGCAGGCAGCTAAAATTAGGTGAAATGAATTCAAACCCTTGGGCTCTTACTTAGTTGTCTATATAGGTATGTACACAGGCATAAATATAGGCATGTATGTTACTTGGAATGCACTGAGATACCTGAGACACCACAAGGGGCCAATGGATACAAAGAAGTATCTCTAGGAGGTCTGTGCCCTTCTGGCTTAGCCGCTGGTGACTGGGGTCCCTGAGGGCATCTCCCTTCATAATAGACACCTATGTTTAGACAGAGGAATCAATCTCTAAATGAGTAAGTTACCTACTTGGGCATTTGGTGTACTTGGAATTTTAACAGAAACAGTGGAGGTATGAAGGGTATTTAAAATGGGGAAGGGAGCGAAGCAGGCAGAAACTAGAAGTTTTATTTAGTCCATTTTGTTTAGTCTGTTACGTTCACCGTATCATCACATTTCTCAGCTCAGGCTCAGCAGAAACATTTTTATGTTCAATTCTCGCATCCCAGATTCCTGCTGGGAAGTACCAAAGTAGCAGCAGCCAGCACTGTGGAACCGTCAGCAGCACAGACATCTGAAAATTAATTCTGAAGAGCAGCCCACAGACTATAAGTATATTGGGACTTCATGCTTATGTGTTTTGTTAATTAAGAAACACTAAAGCATTTTCTAAAGGGAGAACATAATTTTAAAAAGTCCAGTCAACTTCTTCTTCTAAGTCTACTTAAGAGTATTCATCATGTAAAGTTTTATTTTTCACTCAGTTTCCCATTTAGCCTTGAAAAATTCATAAAGCAGTTTCTTTGTTAATTTTTACTATGTTAGGAGGCCAGCTGGGATTTTAATATATTTATTAGCCTTGTAGTAGATGATCATTTAATCTAATAGCCATTCATTAACTAACTATAGCGAATGTGTGCATTTATTGATAACCACCACCTTTTACAATATTTATGCAATGAAGTTTTCAAAATTTCTGAGTGAATTTGCTATGAGAGCCATCTAAATAATTTTTTTTAATTCATTTTCTTTTTATATATACAGTAACATTTACAATGTCTCAATTTGCTTGACTGAGGAAACAAAATTTCTACTGGACCTGGGTTACTAGTATTACATGGAGAGTTAAGACCTATAGGATATATTCATAACAGAATAATACAGCATCTTTCCTGCAACAACTTTGATCCCTATTCTCAAATTTCAGGTGGGCTGCAAGGCTATTTTGGTGTTTTTTCAGTATGGTGTTATGGCAAACTTTTACTGGCTCTTAGTTGAAGGACTTTACCTCCACATCCTCCTTGTGCTAATATTCTCCCCCAACAGACACTTCACAATCTATCTGCTGATTGGATGGGGTAAGAACTTAAACATCTTCCAATAATATTCTTGTTTCTGTATGTATGTATTAGTCAGGTTCAGTATTTCATACCAAGGTAGTCATGCCATTTCTATTGGATGACTCCTCAGACTCACTAGTTCCTCAGTTCAGCTCCAGCATAGGTTACAGCCGCTGTACCGTGGGAGATAGCGGGCGCAAAACTGCTGAAGCATAACTGCTAGCTTGCTCCTTGGCACGGCTCGGACCTGGGCCAATCTGCACAATGCCCAGGGGTTGCTCAGGATATAGGGTGGTGGAAGGGCTGCCACCGCAAAACATATGATTCAGGCTGTCCTAATTTGGGAGGAAGAAGGAATTTTAACTGCACAGCCACAGGCTATGCTATGCTATTTGCCTTTTTGAAAAGCCCAATAATATTGTCCATCTGGTTTTAAATACATGTATTCCTTTCATTTCCAGAAAGTGCAATGATATTTATACAGAGCGCTTTAAAGCTTCCAGTAATAGGTGGTTATAAAACATTTAGGTATTGCTGGGAAATGGGAATAAACCAGTGTGTGGGAATGGTTCCTTATGAAATGATTTACACTGTGGTTTTATATTGTAGTCCTTGGAAGTGCATTGGGAATGCATAACTTGTATCTATCTCCCTGTAGGTCACTCTGACAGCTTGAAAGAAACCTAAGAAAGGCACATTCTTTGTGTATTAGTCATTATGGCTGCATTTTTATAAGGAATAAACCCAATTCCCTTCAGTCTTTGTTTGTAATACATTGCTTACATCATGTAGCTCGTCGGATAGGCCTCTCCCTCCATTCACTAAACTGTTTACTATATGCTGTATATTTGAGGAATAATTGGTTACTAGGGGGCTGAACTTTTTTTGTTAGTGGACTTATATTTTTGTGATCATCCTCTAAACCTCTTTGGGATTTTTCAGGAATTCCTACCATATTCATTATTACGTGGACAGTGACACGGATCATTTTAGAGGACACTGGGTAAGTGTGTGGGGGAGAGAAAGCTTAAACCCTCCAACTGTGCAAATACAATCCTTGCCTTGGATATGGTGGTGTTCACACAAAAGTGGTTTGCTGTTCTGAAGGGGACGAGCACAGAACTGAAATTGCAGATATGGCAGTAAAGGGACAGGTGTAAAGGAGCTCTTCAGCATGCTGTTTATGCTTGCTGTTTATTTGAAAAACTCTAAGGGCAGGAGAGGTTATGACTAATGTTACCCTTTGAGACCTGCATTTAGAGCTATATGCTTTGGAAGTCAAAATAATACTTAAAATATCAATGGGAGTCTTGAATTCAGTGCTGCAATACAGTGCAGTAAGATGCTGGGAATTCTAATTTGCTAACTAGCAGCTCAAAAGATTGAAATAGATAACCTTGGGTATGTCTAAATTACATTCCCAGAAGTGAAGCAGTGTGATGTAAACATATGTAAGATGCACGTAGTCAGGTAAAACTGTAACTAGAGCTAGGCCTGGCTCCTGGCATGGGAAGGGGAACTGAGATAAGAATGTTGTGGGAAGATCAGACTTGCTGCCTCTGCTGGCCCCAAGGAATGGGAGAGCATTCTTAGTTAGTGGGACAAACAGTTTTCACACTCCTTTTTTTCAACCTGACTAATATTTTTCAATTGATTCTGTAATTAAACTGGAAAAATCATGTCCTACATAATTTCTGTTTTCTTTGCAAGACCTCTAACGTGTAAACCGAAGGCTAACTCTTTCCTTTTTCATTATGATCACAGTTAGAGGAACTCTGAAGGGTATTGCCCTTGCTTAAGATTAATCTTTCAGAGCACTTATTCTCAGAGTATTTGGACCAGAAGTGCTGAGCCCACAGTGAAAATTAAATTTTCAGTTTTTCAGACAAAGTTTCAGGTTCAGTCTCACATTTTCCTAAACCAGTTCCAGTCGTCTGTAACCTAAATGTCCCACAAGGAATGATGTCATTTCAATTGTATCTGTCCATTGCTTTAGATCTTCCTCCTACCCAGCGGCTGGTGTTAAGTGCTTATTGGAAAAGTGTCCTTACACAAAGTGACACTAAGCTTGGTTTCCTCCATGATGTCTAATGGTACAGTCTAGTGTGCCTGATGTTTTAGCTGATTTGAATATTAAAACCAGGGAATTAAAATTAAAAGCAGAAAAAGATTGAATGCCAAATTCTAGGCTAGAATAGGCATTATTTTAGTGTGCTTTGACTTGTATATAAGTAATACTTCTCCTCATAGGTCTTGCTTGCCAGATGATATTAATTTCAACATCATTTTCCCTCTTTTTTTTTTATAGTTGCTGGGATACAAATGAGCATGGTGGTCCCTGGTGGGTTATACGAATACCAATTTTAATTTCTATTATAGTAAGTAAATTTTGAAGCATGAATTATAGATCACTTCAGCATTGTGCCATGCATATAGCCATTATTCTTTACTGCTAGTTACAGATAGGCAAGAATTCTGTTTTAATGAAAAGAAATTGCGCTGTAGGAGAAATGTTAAACAGATGCCAAGGCCATTAAATTTGTTGCCTGCAAAATTTATCTGCCTCCTATTAAATGAGCAGTTGCTTTTATTTGTGTGTTGTTCTTTCTTTAACATCTCTCCTGTTTATGAGCCTGGGGGAAGCAAAAATCTAATTATACTTTTCAATGAATTGCAGATTTGATTTTGCATGTAAATAGATAGCCCTGCAATTGAGAATCCGATATTATTGCAGCCATAAAAAACTATGGCTGTGTATATCTTTCTTTAATTGGTAGCCTACTGAAATATATATTGAACATGAAGTATTTGCAAAAGAATACCATTTGAGAATGTTTCATGGGGCTTTTCCTATGTGGAACTCATTAGAATTACTGGAGTAGCATAATAAAATTCCTGTTCACTGTAATGATTGTGTAATTAACTTTGGGCATAATATATTACGGTTATATGTCCATTTCTGAAAACAGTCACAGTGCAAATTAATACATTTCAGATACATTTGCTTTATATTTAACATTTTAGTCAGAAAAATTAGGGCGTTATTAGATTACACAAGATTTCAAGAATCCACATTACACTTGGGCTTGCCTTTCAATCTGTGCCTGCTGAAAATCATTTTGAGAGAACTTACTATCATCTTCATCAGAGTGAATTCTACAGTGTTTAAAGAGAAAGCAGAGTAGGCATATGTGTGAAATGACGTAAGGTAAGGACTCAACAGAAAAGAAGTTTTATGATACGAAGAAATGGGCATGCAACAGAACTACAGCACAAAGAGAATACATGTACCTCAAAGGAGCTGGAGAATGGGGGATGGTCTAGAGTGAAGAAAATACACTGAAAGATAAAAGCAAAACAAACCACCTGGTGTTTACAGAGAGATGAAAATCTGTTCTCTGGATGTTCAATTTAAACAGCTATCTGGTGGACAGCTGAGCCTTCATGTGCCAGAAAGCAGTGCTTCTCCAAAGAAGTCCTAGACCTGGAAACGGAAGTTACCCAAGTACTCATTGGCAGACTTGAATTGCAGCTGGATCTTAGCAAAGACTGGGAAATGAGTTGTGAGTTAAGAAAATGGAGTACTAGTCAGTCAGCAAAAGTCCAGTATATCACAAAACGTGGACCAGAATCACTGTTTGAGGCAAAGGAAGTCATTCTCCTTTTTGTTTTAATGGTTCTATTACTGATTTGATACAAAGGGATTGTAAGACATAGGGAAACATTTTGCAAATGACCTTTTTTGGCTTGCCGGGTGTACATGTTTAGGACCTGCTGTCTCCTTCCAGATATGTTTCTTGTCTTAATCAGCATGTTTTAGGGATTAGAGCAACTAAAGATGGCCAAGCGATTCTGCAGTGTGTACTGTATGAAGCAGCTTACTTCTCCGATTAGATGATTCTTCAGCTGTTTGATCAATTACATTTTGCATTTGGGAATTTAAGCTGTGAAAGGGAGTTATAAAAGCAGTGATACTCACCCTTTCCTGCTGGATAAGTAACATATCTTGTTGGAGCATCAAACTACAACCAGCATGTTCATTGTGGCAGCTAGGATGCTATGCAAACTTACTGCTGTGCAAAGTAGAGCGTGCATTCATAGAGCAAGAGGAGCTAATGAAATGTCACGTAAAATTGGTCATTGATGAGGGAAAAACACCACATTCATGAGAACATAATTTTCAATATATATACACCATGATAAGCCTCAACATTTCCTGTTACCTTCTAGAAAAAATAGAAGTTGAAGATTCAAATCTTTGAATAACGAGGTCAGTGCTGCCTGCCATTCAATAGTGAAAATAGATCATTGCAAGTTCTTTGGATTGGTGTTGTGAACGAGTCATGATGTTTCTCAATAAAAGTATGATGTACTTACATCATACTCACTCACACAGTGCCTTCAGTCTGCTCGAGAATGTAGAGAGACTGGAAGACCCACAGAGAATGGTGACAAGGATGACCAGCAATAACAAATGGCTTCAGTAGTAGGAAGGACATCTGCGTAAGTAGTCAATGAGGTGAACACAGGAAAACTCTGAAAGAAGCTGAATTTCAGGAAAATAAAGGAGAGCAGGACACCTAAGCTGAGAACTGCCATCAACTGCCTTATGTAATGGCATGAAAGAAAGCCCAGGGTATGGCTGACATTGAAAATCTTTCAGAGGAGGAAGAAGAGTAGAATAGAGCCTGACTGTGAGGATGAAGCCATGAACATACTTTTGAAAGACAGAAGCAAAGGTTTTAAGGAACAATGGTTTAACTGCATTAGATTTTAACAGGAAGTCTGCTCAGCCTTCATGCCGTATTCACTCTCTTCCATTGATTTCTGTGTTAACTCCAAACATTTTTACCGCTTAGAAGATTATACTTTCTATAAGGTTATTATCCAACAGTAAACAGTACTGTGAGAGCAAGTTCTGAAGTCACTTCTCAAAGTGGCAATGGCTTCAGTTAATTCAATGTGTCAGAAACCTTCCCTGGCATCTCCTCCTGACAATTTTGGCTTGAGAAAAGTCATTTGGCAGGCTTCCACGCTTCACGCTGTACAAATTTCAGAGTTATTTAATTGGGGGTGACTCTTCCAAACAGTTAATGTGGTGTTACCTGTATTCTCCATTTAGCAAATGCCTCCACAGCTGCCTTCTCCATACTTCCACTTGCCTAAACTGCTCTCGTTTGGGAAGGAGTGGTGTTTGGGTGGAAACAGTACTTCTGTCACATCAAAGTCACTGAGAATGTTTATTGTGTTATCTCACATTGCAGGTAGTGTAAGAGACTAAATAGCAAGAAAGAAGCAACATGAAGACAGTTTAAATGATACATGCTCAGGCAATGTGTTTAGACTCAAAAACTTATTGTCAGAAGCAGTCAACCAGTAGAAAAGGGTACCAGCAGCATCTTGCTGTTACTCCACTAAAGAGGCAGCATTTGTCATCACTCTCTTGCAGTTTCTCTGCATTCACATTATTTTCTCATTTTCCTCTTCTCAGATGTTCATTGAACAGTATGCATATTCTATTTTACTTAAAGACATTATGCTCAAACGATTTTAGGGGACTGAAAAGCTACAATACTCAAAGTAAAATTCCAGGGCACTACTTGTTTCATATTTTATTGAAACATACTATTCTAAATCAGATGTATACTTTAAAAGATTTTAAGAAATTATCAATTCAATAATACTCTTAGAGAAATTAATTTGCTCCACTGTAGTAAGTCAGTGGCTGTTGCCACCTTTAGATCTTAATACCCAGTTTCAGCTGGCTGGATTTACAAGCTCAGTCATGCCAAGGGCTGTTACAAACTCCAAACAAGAATGTATGTTTTTCATTAATCCAAGATTGTGCTTACAGACAGAAAGGTGTGTGTTTGAAAACAGACTTAACAGTAATACATGAATGTCAGTCAAGAATGTGAGTCGCCTGAATGTAGTTTTGCAGATGATTTGATGCTTCAGAAGCCAAATGGATGACAGTTTATTCTGTTACAGTAGAAACTAGGGATGCCTGTGAAGAACAAGAAGTTATTCTGCCAATCCCTTTGCAAATACAGAATAAAGATTTTTTCCTTCTCCTATTTTGTGGCTAACAAATATACAATGAAATGGAAGCTCTCTCCTTGTCCACTAATACTGGCTCCAGTGCATATGGCAAACTAAATGTATATCCCTTGGTTTGTATACTCTGCTGTGGTAAGTCTGTAGATACAATCAGCAATAACAGGCTTCTGCCTGTTACTTTTATAGGAGACTTGCATCAAGGAAAACTTATAAGTCATCATCTGCCTGAAAAATGTATGTTAAGTTCAGTAAAGGCCTATATTTTCTAACATTACTTTTTGTTCTTTTTTCAAAAATATTAGATTTAATTTTCCTAATTTTTTATTTAATCCCTGTCAGTTCCTGTCACTTCCCATCACCCGTCATTTCAAACAAAATATTAAATACAGAGGGGCATGCAGTTGCTCTGATCACAGTTTATTTATTGACATCACAAATTGTACTGGGTATGTCAGAGAAGACACAGAAATTCATTGAACTTAAAAAGCTTACAACCAAATTGTTAAGACTGGAAAAAGAAGAGTTCCAGCAATACATCAAGGCAGAGACTGAAGGTTTATAGCAGTGAGGCAGGCACTGTCTGGTTGGGTACCCAGCCTCCTGATTTTGGGCTTCGGGATGGGGTTAGTTAAAAACAATAAAATGCTCATTTTCACAGTGATAGAAATTTTTCTCTAGGTTGATTTCTTCTAAAATGTGTGCATTTGATGCAGCTATTTATGTAGCTGTAGCTGTAGTTTTTAGCTCACGTTGTCGCTGTGAAGATGCGGATTCCAAGTGTTTCCTCACTTTAGTATGGGCATGCTATATTTAGTGTGTGGTTTTTCTAGACCGCACCAAACAATCCGGCACCAGAAGGGCTGGTGAACACAAGGTGCCAAAAGCCAAGGATGAAGAAATAATGGGAGTGAGACTTAGGATCTACTGAGTTTTATACTTCAATTTTCTAGATTGATCAGGGTCTGATCATAACTTTTTTTATGCAAGTGCCTTTCTATGAAATAAAATATGAAATAAAATAATACTACTGTTCTATTTCAGAGTGCTGTCACAAGAATTAGACTGCAAGGATTCAGTTCCTTCAGTGACAATGTCTGCATCAGTTCCCAAGACAGACAGATACTTGTGAGAGGAGGCCCTTTCTATGCTTGTTTGGAGTGGAGAGATCACCTGTGCAACAATCTTCTCTTCCCCTAATTCAGAGAGAATATATTAAAAGTCAAGGCGAGAGGCAAGAGGGGGTCAAAACTGTGTATGGGAGTCACATTTTCCTTTGGGCTTCCAGTCGTGAATCCACATGATAATTTAGGACAATGCTTGATTGCACCAAATCACATCCAATGTCCCATCCTGCTAGGAAACCTGTCTTCAGCTGAGATTTTGGAAGGAGGGCGTTTCTGACAACTGGGGCTTTCAAAGGCGTTTGCCAACCAGACTAGAACTGGTGGCCATGCAGAGATGCACGGGACGTAACAAACCTGGTGAGGCAGAAACTAGACAATAGGTTTGACAGTGTAGAGCTTGATGTGTTCTGGCAGGAGGTACACAACACCCACTGCGGAGGTGATTTGTCTGACTTGATAAGCGTTTCTTTGTGCTGCGTACTGAGTGGAGAAGTCAGAAATCACCATTATATTTGTTCTCTTTGCAGGTGAATTTTATACTTTTCATTAGTATTATAAGAATCTTACTGCAGAAGTTAAGATCTCCAGATGTTGGAGGAAATGACCAGTCACAGTACAAGTGAGTCATATTTTTAGATATTATATACAGAACCAAAATGATCTCTGTAAGATTTCCTCTGAAACCTGCTACCAACAATTGCTGTGATACTGGAATTACATTTAATTCAGAAGTACTTTTAGATGTTGTTTAATGAAGATCTTATCACTATGCTGAAATAGAGATGAACATAATTTTTTTTGTCTAAATTCAATAAAAAATATGCAATTTCATAAAGACCAACAAGCTATTCTTGAATTTGAGTTTAATCCATGAATGAATATGCTGATACAAACAATATGGAGAGTAATATCTTTCTTTTAATGTATAAATATTTCATTTTGACATAACAGAAGTTTCAAGATCAAAACACTTTGCTTCAGCCTCCTTAAAAACACTTTTTAAAAAAAATTTCATTTCTAAAATACTTTTTGTTGTAATACATACATGTATTTTAAGAGCTGGAAAGAAGTGATGTTGTTCCCAAAAAATAAAAAAAAAAAATGTTTTATGTTGATTTAAAATAGCATCTTTATTTTTCTAGAGGAAAACAAGTGTTTCTGCTGTAGATCAACTTCATTTCTGTTTAGGCTTTCTTCTTTTGTGTTTTGGTTTGAACACCAAATCCTAACATCCATTGTTTCCCCAGCTTTAGAATCAAGGAATATCGGGGGGCAAATTAAATACATTGCTAAAATTGGATTTGTTCTTTATTATATTGCCATATCACTTATTGTTGTTTATTATAATAGCTGCTGGATACTGTAATCCAGAATCAAGAGTCTGTTGTAGTAGGTCTTACTTTAAAGCCCAGATATAGACACTGAGTTTGACACTTCGGGATGTTAATATGATATTTCAATGACAAAACCTAACGTGAACACTGAAAATTCAAAACCATGCAAGTGGCTTTAGAAAATGTGCTCCTGGATAACACCTTTTCTTCATTTAAAAAATACTGAATTCCTGTCCTAAAAGCAGATAAAACACAGTGTGCTAAAGTAAAGCATATCTTTAAAGCCAAGAGAACGAGGACCTCATGAGTTTTGTAAACAACGTGACACATTTGATGCAAAAAGTGAAGAGTTCTGATGTGTCATGGAAAAGATGACACGACTAGATTGACATAAGGCTTTGCTTCGTAGAGCTACAAGGGTCCTTTTTTGTGTTTGCTGCTTGAATTAACTAAACATGTGGGAGAACCAAATCAACCTAGATGAAATTATGCGGTTGCCACATTACTGTTTAGCACAATGACCGACCTCTGGGCAGGAAATCCCCTCAAGTTTACTTCTTGTGACAGGAACTTTTGTTTGTTTCTGTGTGGCATTTATGTATTTTATGAAAACAAGGCATTCCCTTCCTATCAGTCCCATCATTTTCCACAGTTTACTGTAGCGCTTCATAGTATAAAATGTTCAAAAGTAGCATCCTTGTCCTTCATTATTCAGCCCTGTGAATTCTTTGCTTTTAGCTAGTAGCATCCTTGTCCTTCATTCAGCCCTGTGAATTCTTTGCTTTTAGCATTTGATTGCCTGATTAAGTTTGGATTGGATGGTGTTTAGCTGATGCCCATGGGAACAGTAGATTAACCTCCTCAAGAAATACTGCATCTACAGAGCAAATTAAAGGTCTGGAAGGCTCGTTTTTCAAAATGCAAATGCATTTTCTAAACTACAGAGAAGAATAAGGCTATTTGGTCTGTCCCTTTCCTTCAACTAAAATGTAAGTGCAGTATAGAGAAAGTAACATCAGCTAGACAAAAATTATTAAAACAAGAATGGAATGAAAGTGAAATATGAGTCTAAAATGAATAGTACTCATGCAAGTCACCATTTTTCTTCCCTTCCTCTGTCCCACTTGCTTGTACCTGGTTTCATCCTTTTTGTTGCTCGTTTTACTTTTGCAGTGGGTAAGGTTAAGTTCAAATAAAATCAGTTTTCCATTTCACTTGGGGAACCGGAAATTTGCTGCCATCCTCATCTCCTCCAGTTGTAAATGAATTTCTTCTGCTAAGGAAATCCTATGTGTCCCGCTTACTGGTATCACCTTTAGATGTGAGGGCTTTACTATTCTTGAGAAACTTTGCTGTCAGAACTGATTATTTCCACATAAACAGATGCAGCCTCTGTGACATTATGAACAAAGGAAGGCCATGCAGACTGACACAGAAAAAACAAACTGCTTGAAATACCTTGACTTTTCTGTTAAAATAGGTGAATTCACAACAGCACCCTTTCATTGTTGAATCAAGTTATATTCATCGAGACAGTGATGAATTATGGGACTCGATTATAACTTCTTGAATTTTATCTGATACCAGACATCTATAATCATGCATGATTTGCCCTGTATAATATATAAAACTGATGTTATTAGAGTGAAATAAGTGACAGATAAGGGATAATTAGCAATTCATAATTTCAGTGGTTTCACAGGCAGTTTGTCAGAGCTGCTGTGCTTAATAATTTAAAGTTCTCCTTCTTAACTTCAGTAGTGTCTTGTGCTAAAATGTATTATGTAATTGACAACATTAAAAATTAGTTCATGGTATATGTTTAATACCATCAGTATAGTTATGAGATTTTGGTATTTGGGGGTAAATCTGAAATTGCTCATGAAAATCTCACAGTTGAGATTATTCTGGATCACATTTCCTAGGTACTGTTTGCATATTGTGTATGTGCAATGTACAGACTAACCATACGGTTGCACATTTAAAGGAAATTAACATCAGTTAATTTCAAGAGAGAGATTTTACCTTCTATACAAGTCAGTATGACTGTCCTGGTTTCGGCAGGGATAGAGTATTATTATTATTATTATTATTATTATTGCTATTATTTTATTTCAATTATTAAACTTTTAATCTCAACCCACGAGTTTTTCTCACTTCTACTCTTCCAATTCTCTCCCCCATCCCACCGGGGAGGGGAAGGGTGAGCGAGCAGCTGTGTGGTACTCGGTTGCCAACTGAGGTTAAACCACAACAATGACTTTGCAGGAAGGCGTGATTCCTTTCCACTCTGAATCATTTATGCCAGGTAGAAAATATCTAGAGAGATCTGATGGCAGCTTGTGGCACTCTGTTGAATGTGGTCCTGTGGAATAATGCAGTAAAACCCCACCCCCAAAAACCGTGCCATGAAACCAGGCTGGGAACTGAATGTGTGTCAAAGAGACACAGCAGAGGGCATACACCCTGCTGCTGTCCAGAGGGCAACTGGAAAAGGGTCTTTTGGTTTAGAGAGGCCCTGCAGCCTTTTGCCACCTTTTGGAAGAGTGCGAGGTCAGCAAGATCAAGTATAACACGGAATTCCACACGTTAATTTATGAGGTTACTATGTGGCTAATCTCATAGCAAGCCTGAAAGGAAAACAATTTGCAATAAATGACTCTTACTAAGACTGTTTATAAATCTGAAGTCATACGAGGTTTATGTAAACGACGTTGCATCAGGTTCTTATCTTAGTAAAAGAAGAGCTTATCATTAAACTCTTTTCTCTCTTATTTACCCAGGAGACTTGCAAAATCCACGTTGTTGCTTATTCCGTTATTTGGAGTTCACTACACAGTGTTTGCTCTATTTCCTGACCGCAGTTCCAATTATTATAAAATAATCTTTGAGTTGTGTTTGGGATCTTTTCAGGTAAATTTTAAAGTTTTTATTCAAAAGAAGTTTTATTGACCTAGGTTGGTGCTGCCTACTAACTAAGGAATATTGTCTCTTTCCAGGGGTTGATTGTTGCAGTCCTGTATTGTTTTTTGAACAGTGAAGTAAGTCTCACCTTTCCTACTGAGGATGTTAAATATTGTTTTCAGTAAATGTATAAGTGCCCCTATAATTCCACTCTGATACATGAAGCTGTTTTAGAAGACATTTGCATTCCTATTTATAGAATATATATGTGGCAGTTTCTATGCAACAGGAGAAATTAGTGTAGTTGGGTGAAGAGTTAAGAGCTGTTTGAAATATAATTCCTTGCAAACCGAGGTGTTAGTAAGTGTGTCTTCTGTTACCTAACGTGATCTTATTCTAGCTCTGTTATAAGCAATGTGGATTGTGCAAGTGAGGTGCAGCAAGTCTAGAAATTTATCCAAAAATTGAAATGACGTGGACCTGTTAAAGTGAGTCCACAGGAGGGCCACAAAAATTATCAGAAGGCTGGAGCACCTCTTCCGTGAACAGAGGCTGAGAGTGTTCAGCCTAGAGAAGAGAAGGCTCCGGGGAGACCTTATTGTGGCCTTTCAGTATAAAAAGCAGGGATTATAAGGAAGATGGAGCAAGACTTTTTAGCGGGGCTTGTAGTGACAGGACAAGGGGTAATGGTTTTAAACTGAAAGAGTAGGTTTAGATTGCATGTAAGGAAGAAATGTTTTCCGTGAGGGTGGTGGAGAGACTGGAACAGGTTGCCTGGAGAAGTTGTGGATGCCCCATCCCTGGAAGTCTTCAAGGCCAGGTTGGATGGGGCTTTGAGCAACCTGATTGAGTGAAAGGTGCCCCTGCCCATGGCAGGGGGGTTGGACTAGATGATCTTTAAAAGTCCCTACCAACCCAAACTATTCTATGATTCTATTTCTAGAGATCCCCATTTGACCACCAATAAACGTGGAAAAGTTCCTCACGTACAAGAACATTTTCAGCTCATCTTGTGCATTTTCTTTTTAACACAGGTGCAAGGGGAGCTGAAAAGAAAATGGCGGAGTTTGTGCTGGAAGCAGACAGCAGGCAGAGATTACAGACTCCACAGCTCTTCGATTTCTCGAAATGGATCAGAAAGCGTTTCTCAGCTCCACCGGAATTCAGGGGCTCAGTCATTTATGCAGACAGAGACCACCATGATTTAAATTAGCTAGGTCCCCCGAAACATGAAAAACTGTGGGATATATGATTCATTATGCAACTTGGTGTGATACTTTATAAAATGTACAGTTTAGTGCTTTGCTTTTCTACATGTTGGTATTTGGGAAATTGGTTTATGCAGCCAACCAGTTAGAAACAGAGATACCTACCCCACAGATGCTTTCTGGATTTTTTGAATGGTATTCATATTAATTCTGATGTTCTCTTGCTGTTTACTAGCCGTAACTATTCAAAAACTCGTTTACTATAATGGTCCCTCTACCCTCCCAACACGTCTGCAAGATAGATGTCTGGTATCCTGTTCAACGCAGACTGCTTTGGTACATGTTGAAAAGGTTAAGATGGGAAGCAAGAAAATTTCTTACACTTTATTTATACTTAAGGAAACATTTCTTTCCTTAAGGATTAGGAAATTCTTTCCTAATTATGGAAAACAAAATAAAAATAGAGACATGTAAGACTATAATTAACTGCACTGGGAGTTTAGTGTGCTGATCCAGGAAATCACGAACATTATTAATACAGAGGGAAAAAAGGTAGTACTTCTCGGCTAATTGCATAAATTTCAGAGATTACTTTCTACAGAGTTTGATTCCAAGCTGTTGTTCCTTTCAAAAGTGCCTGGTTTTATGTTTAGGTGCAGAAAGTAGGGCTACCTTTGCAGTCCATACAGAAAAGGCTACTGTAATAGTTTTGATTAAAACATCAGCATTTTCCAATAGTGCTATTGCAATCACCAGCTGTTCTCTTCTGTTTAAAATCAGAGATTTGTGTTGATCTTTTATTAAAGAATTTTTTGAAGAGGTGCTTTATTGCTAGAGCAGTCTGGCATAGGATAAACAGCCTTGGATAGTGTATTACCCATTGAAAATATCATTTCTATATAATGTTTTCATTGAAATATGTCTCTAGAACTACATACTTGGCAGCTAAACCAAGGAATATTGCAATAAAGTTACAACTCCCGTTTAAGGACTAATGTAAATTCTTTTAGCTTAATTCTATTCTGTATCTATCTGAGCTGATTTAAAATTTAGCCCTGACCATGACTCCAGCAAAAAAAATTAGACAGAATCCCTAAAAATTACCATAGAAGGCATAAACAGAAGGAATTCTCAACAACGCCAAGCCTTTTATGTAGCCACTTTGTAAAAAAAGATGCAGAACTGACAGATTCTTATAAATATGCACAGAACATTTGCACTCTTTGAAAGAAATAAACCCAATGATGTTTACTTCCCATGTCACGTTTAACCATGTCCACTCTAAATAGCAAGTGGGAATAATATGTATTTGCATGAGTACCTCTGATCCATAAAAGCAATTGCCCTGATGTTTCAGATCACAGATTGTATGGAGCTAGCAGAATCCAAAGTCCGTAATATTGCCAGGTGAAGGGAAGAACAGCAGCAAGGGCATGTCTTGGCAGGCATACAGGTACATTCTTGAAAATATTACCAGTGCTGGGAATATTGTTGGCAGCTGTCGAAGTGTCCATACACCTCTTGGGCTGATTTAATTTAGCTATTTATCAGTCAAACACAGTTTATTTTAGTGGGATTACCCCGGAGTGATACAAACTTACGTCAGACCAAAGATAGAAAAGGCCCCATGGTTCACATGAGTACTGCAGAACAGGTAACTGTGAATGTTACATGACACTAAACTTTACATAGTAGGTATCATCTGAGTTAAACAATAATCACTTGATGAATTGTTACTTTGCCAAATTTGACTTTAAAGAAGCTATTGATCACCTCCAGTCATTCAGAGTGTTTTCTGCTGTCACGTGGTGGAGTAGCTATGAGATTCTGGAGTGAAGTAGGCTGCCCAATGACAGTCCCATGGGGTCTAAAGATACGCCCCTACACACATACTGAAACTAAATATATTCCCAAAGGCTTTAGACTCAGAAACCACTGCTAAACTTTAGTATTTTTCCTGGATCTCTGAACAACCTTATCAACAAACTCTTAACTGCAAATATATGAAGACACATTGGAGCATTGGGGGCTGCTCCTATACCTAAATTAAATACGTCTGTGCACTTTACGCTTCTTTGTCTGAAGTGGCATTGGGACTGCTCAGCTCCCTGAGATGTGACGTGCAGGATGTACTTTTTTCCCCAAATTTCTAGGGTAGAAAGGCATGCTTGACAAGCATTCAAGCGTACTCATCTTTATGTTCAAAGGAGGTTCTTTGAGTGAGTTGGCACACAGAGTAATGGCATAGAAATAGAGATTTCAAGCAATCAGTTCCATCAGTCTGTTCTGCCTGATGCATCACCAATTATATGTGTTTATAATTCATTGTATCCTAGAGAAAATTATGTTTGTTCTAATTAGGTGAGCATGGAGAAAATCTGCATTTTAATGATTTCTGGATTATAAGACAGAAAAGCTTAAATAGGAAAATACATTTTAAGTTGCAACAAAACAGCATAGTTTCCTTTAATAGGGTGCAGATGCATTTGGACTTGATGCTACTTTTCATGTAGAGAGTAATGCCATATGAGACAATGAAGTTGCACCAGTGAGAGAAGATAGTGGTGTCACTAAGTTTGTAAAGGACTATCTGGGCATGCAAAGAACGGCACACAAGGGAGAGAGGCGCTGCATATATTTTTCTTTCAAACCAGTGAAAAGTTCAGTACTTTGTACAACCTCATCCCTCTATTAAAAAGCATAGAATATAAATACAGAAAATATGTTTTCTGTGAGACAGTTTAACTTCATAATGCTTTGTGCAAGCATTTTCATGTCAGTAAAGGCCCAGAGGGCACTGTGCTCACTTGTTTGTACTCCCAGAAAATTCTGATTTCCAAATAATTTTATGCAAAGTTACAGCATCAGCCCCATCATCACCTGTTTGACTTTCAGCTGCCTTTTCACACACAGATACACATCATGTTAAAATGTATGTAAAAGCTGCAAAACAGTTTGACAAATCTAGTACTTGATCGATGTTTTGCATCTTTGCGACACCCAGAAACAAGATAGCTTCTCACGGCTTTGTCTTTCATTGCATTTTGCACAAGGGTGTGGAGTTAAATGCTCCTGCTCTGCTCTGTGGTGACTCTAAGAGTCAAAAGCACAACGTAAGAAAACATCATTTGGCCTTCTGTCATCCCTAAACCTAGTTCTCACTCAGTCCTGGCAGCATCAGGGGAGGAGGTAGAGGCAGCAAGACAAGCATATGCTTTCCCGGCAGGGCCTTGTCACATGGTGCTCCTCCCTTTCTTTATTCCTTTACTGCCTTTCTCCCTTTGGTTGTATCAGTGTCCAAACTGAGCTGTAAAGTCTTCAGAGCAGGAAACCTGGTTTTTTGTCCCCACTGAAAAGCCAGTAGCACATCATGTAAAGTTACTGAACAAGAACAGTAATACAAGTCACTCTCGTACTGTGGTTAATTGTTGTACTTTATTTTCCTTGGAGCTGCCAGGGAGGCACCATTCCTTCTGCGTGATTTTTATCAGCATTACCTGCTGATGATCCCTGAGGGACACACTGACAGATTGCTCTCCAATTGCTAACCGTGATCAAAATCTAAATATATAGCAAGGATTGACTTAAATTTTCCTCTGCAGAGTCGATTTCAGCTAGGTGCTCGATAAACTCAGGTGAAATTCATCTGCCCTGGTTTCAGTATCTAAAAGCTGGATGTCTGTCTCTGAGCAAAAGACTCTTTTTAAGTGCCTTCTGTACTCATCATAGAGAAATAGGCACTAGCTGAAGATGATTCATCCGATGTTCTGCTGGGCATCTAAGGTAGGTAAGCTGAATCACCTTTTTCTCTATACTTACTATACAATGAGCCCAGGGTAGCTGGCTAGTACTTAGATTTCTCACTCTACATCTAAAATTAGGTAAGATGAATCTCTCCAGAAAAGACCATTCCATTTTCTGGCTAATAGTACCCAGATACTCCTTTTTAAGCCAAGTGACTTGGGTTGGCCGAAGTTACCCTCCAAAAAATGTGCAGGAGGTTTCAGAAGTTCAGGCAACGGAGGATCCCTCAGTTCATTTGGTAGGGTGTCCCTGTGGTTGACTGCCTTCCGTGATAAAGCTAATAGCCTTATGTCCCATTTTCATTTGCCTGGCTTCAGCTTTCAACAATTGTGTCTTGTTTTGGGTTAGGTGGTTGGCTTTTTGTCTTTTGTAGAGGGGTCATACGCTAAAACAAAGTGCTTTACACTACCAGAAATTTTCTTTCTGTGAAGTCTCTTGAAAATCACTCTTTAAATCATGTCTTGATTTCCTCTCTGAGAAACTAAACATGTCAAAATTTTGAAATTCTGACAGCGAGGCATTTTCTGAAATATTCTTCCTGATTCTCTTCTGTGCCCTGTTCCATTCATAATAGCTTTGGCCAAGAGAAGCAAAGAAAGTATTTCAGTATCTCCTCCTTCAGGAGTGCACACACCATTGCCCGTATTTCTCACTCCCACTTGCAGCTCACCTGGTCATACCTTTGAAAAATTTGACTTTACATAGTCATTTTAACTGACCAGGAACTGGCTAGTGACATGCAATGAGATTATTGCTGGCATTTTTTTTGCCATATAAAATAGTACCTTTTTAAAATATGTTGGCCTTGGTGTCTGGGTCAGGTGCATTAATGTGCTTTGCAAAATAACCTTAGGAATATGGAGAGCACCCTTTTAGCCATTGAAAGCAGTGCTGGCTTTCATAAAATTTTAAGAATTTGACATGTATTTAAGTAAGTACTCCATGCACTCCATGCTGGAGTGCACAAGAGCCCAACAGATTGCACCTGAACGGCATGGTGATGGGTGCTGCAGGTAGCCAGCTGCAGAACTACCCAGTTTAAGCATACATTGGAACTGTACTATAGCGGCAATAACTAATTGGTGTCAACAAGCACTACAAAAAGCCGCCTGCAGTCAAGTTGGAGGCAGCCTGCCCCACTCTGTAGCATCTACTTCATGTCCTGATGCGCCCCAGACAAGCTTCCCTCTGCCTTTAACATGGTGAAGGGGAAAGTGACAGGCATAGACCCTCAGGAAACCAGAGAATCTGCCTGGGACGGCTTTATGAAATAAGGCCATTGGCAAGTGCACGTCTCACACTCCATGCATAAGAACTAAGATGAGTCATTTGTATTATGTTTCTCCTGTTTCTGTGAGTTCTAAAAAACATCTGTTGACTGTGAATTTGTCCATTTCAGCAAAGCGATTGTGAATAAAGTCCAAATTCCCTTTATACAGAAGTTTTTTCAGACATCTCCAATGAAAAATCAAGCATTAACTATGTCTGATAAAAAAGAAGAACCAGCAAGTAACCTGCAGAGAAAGCCGCTATGTATATAAGGGTTATTGTCCGAGCAATTACTGTCTGTGCATTGGGATACAGGAAATACTTTTACTGACAAAAGTACCTTCATGTTACCATGAGTGCCTATATAAGCTGTGGGCTGTCAGTACTACCCTGACATAACCAAATAGCAGAAGTTAGTATGCAGTGCTATTCTGTTGATGAAAAAGCAATATTAAAATAATAATAATGTGT